TCTTTCTGTGCCTCAGCTTCTTTGTATTCCTCTTCTCCAATTTCTATTTCATTTAACATCTCATCCACCATATCTAATCAGCTTTTAATACCCTCCACTGTGCTCTGCAATGATTGGATATCCGACCTGAATTCATTCCTGTGTTCTTGAATATTTTTCTGTGCCTCAATGAGCATGTTAATGATTTTTATTTTGAAATCCCTTTCAGGAAGATTCATGAGGTCAATTTCATTTGAATCTTTCTCAGGTGTTGTAGTCTTAATTTTACTTTGAACCAGGTTTCTTTTGCATTTCATGTTTGTATATGGCCCCCTCTAGTGCCCAGAAGCTCTACTCTCTGGAGCTGCTCAGCCCCTGAAGTAATGTCAGGGGTTGCAGCAGAGCAGTATTGGTTCCTGGGGGGAGGAAAGAGCTGTTTGCTGCTTCCCAGCTCCACTGCCCAAACCAGTGGGGCGAGCACACAGGTATAAGCCTCTATGCTTTGCATTTGTAGTTGCTGTAGATAGGGCTTCCCTCTGGCTGGCCTAACACCAGGGTAGGGTTTTCCAGTTTGCAAGCCAGGTGGGGCTGGCCAGGAGAAAGGTGCAGTAGGCTGTGTATCGCAGAGGGCATCCTTTGAGCTGTGTAGCCAGCCTGGGAGCTGGAGCACCTGAAGATCGAGAAAGTTTCCAACCTGCTGGGTAGAGTGCCCCTGGACAATTTTATCTACCTGTCCTTTCTCCTGAGCAGTAAGTTCTGTGCAATCTGTGCCCCTTTAGCAGCCCTTTTGCTGTTAGGAAGTCTCTCAGACTGCCCACCTTTCTTTTGTCCCAGAGCAGCCAGATATTGATCCCTGCTTTCCATAAGTGGTTGGCATCTCATTCTCTCCACCTGGCTGTCTTAGCTTTCCAAACCCGTAATTACAAGAGTACCATGAAAGCACCAAGAAATGTAGGTTTGTTCTCCCAGAGCAGATCTCCAGAGTTAGGTATTCAGCAGTCCCATGCCTCTACTCCCTCCCTGCTCCATTTCTCTTTCTTCTGCTGGTGAGCTGGGGTGGGGTAAGGGCTTGGGTGCAGCCAGGCCATGGCTTTGGTACATTACCCTGTTCCCTGAGGTTTATTCTTTTCTCCAGGTGTATTAGTTTGGCGCCTCTCACACCCACCATCATTTTTTTTTAAATCAGCTGACTTTTGACTATGAATCACATTTTGTTGCCTTTTTGTATATCTAGTAATTTTTTATTAGATGCTAGTCATTGTGAATATTATATTATTCAATGTCTAGATTTTGTTGTCTTCCTTAAGGAGTGTTGATTTTTTTTTTGCCTTCATCATCTCTCTCCTTTCTTCTCCTTCCTTTCTTTCTGCTACAATTATTTTGTATTTGCTTGATCCATCTGGGGTTGCTTAATTAAGCTTTGTTGAAGCAGGCCTCAAGGATCTTAATCTATGGCTATTTTAGCCCTCCTAGTAAGCTATTACCCCTATGGCTCTCCACTCAAGCTAGTTAGAACTCAAACTCCTGGCCCTGTGCAAGCTCTGGGAATTGCTAACTTTACATCTTTCAGGGAGTTCTTAACCTAGCCACATGGAGTCTCATTTTTAGCTCTGTATTCAGCAACAGACTCAGGGGGACACCTAAGCAGATTGCTAGAGCCTTTTCTTTATAGCTCTGTTTTCCAACACCTTGTCCTACAAATTCCAGACTTCTCATATTTCTTGAACTCAGATTTCTGTCCCCTCAATTTAGTCTTCTGTAATATGTCTGGGCTCTCCCTCCCTGTGCTATGGCCCAAAAAGTGCCTCCAGGCAGAAAGTAGAGGAAATCATAAGATTCCTTTGTGTGTAGCCTCCTTTTCACTTCTCTTAAGAGATCACATTCTTGTTCCATCAATAGTGCAATGTCTGACAATAGTAGAAGTCTCTCTTTTATTAATTGTTTTGCTCAAATTGTCCCAGATCTTGTCAGTGGGCACCCCTTCTCGGTGGTTTTTTTTTATGTCCTTCTGACATGTCCCTATAGTTTTTATGGCATTTACATACTTCCTAGTACAATTAGATGTTCCAAGCTCATCTTGTACTTCCCTTTTCCCAGACCTAGAATTGGAATTTGCAAGAAGATCTGTTATCTTTCAGTAAAGAATGATAATTGGAGACCAAATGTGACCATTCTGTGTGGGTGTTAACTGCTACTGATATATCATTGTGTCCAGGTTCTTGAAGGAGTTACGGACTCTTCAATTTGTAAGTTAAGAGGTCTTGTTAAGATATGAAAAGGCTGCAGCTGTTTGGAACCTATGATTTAAAACTAAACAAGTTGTAGCTCCTTTCTATGACAAACCTCACACTGAGGAGAGACAGCAAAACTAGGACAGCAGAAGTAAATTTAAAAGAAGATCCAAGTAAAAGTGGCAGAGGCAGCAGAAAGTACACATTTTATTAACTTGTTTTAACAAGGAAAGAGGGAGCTCTAAAGCTATTAAATGTAAATGATACCCTGAAACACCCCATGGAGGCAAAATGCAAACTTACTTATAAGGGAATGAAAATCAGATTGTTCTCAGGCTTTTGAAGAACAATACTTTAAGTCAGAAGACAATTACATAAGTAATTAATATAATTAATGAAAATATGAGCCAAAGATTTCATACCCACCCAAACAAACTTTAAAGGCCACAGACAAAGTGCTATGATGATCCTGTGAACCATTCCTGGGAAACCTAGTAGAGCTTTAGACAACCACAATTACTGAAGCAATAGCATGATGATTGGTAGTTAGATTAAATATGTATTTACCCACAAAATAAAGAACAAATCAAGATTATAAAGCAGAGAGGGCAGTTCACATGGCAATTGCTTTGCCAATAGAGAGAGAGCTCAAGAATCAAAACATAGTGAGAATAAAGAAAGCAGACGCAAGAAAATAGCATAAATTTGCTGATTACTATGTTTTGTTTTGGAGTAAAAACATATCTGATGGCAGAGAAAGATGGACGTGGGAAGAAGAGATGACTAGATAATTTTAATATTGTTCACTGAAAGACAAAAACAAAGAAAGGAGGGAGTATTACATAAAGCTAAAGAGTTATTATGTAAAGGTATAAAGGCAGCCATTAGAATAAAAATACAAATTTTCCTTAAAAGAGAGACATCAAATGAAATATACCACCTAGTGAAAGGCTCTTTATATTAAGATTTGAGTACAGGTAAAACAGAAAAACATAACAAAACTAAGCCAAAAAAATATTGATAGCATCTATAAAGAAAGTTTTACATTGGCTACCAAGTCCAACACTATTTGTAAAACAAAGAGATTCAGAGAGATAAAGAAATAAAAAGATGGACAAAGATATATGAGACAAATGCAAAGAAGGCAGTAGTTGCAATTCTGAAATCTGACAAAGAATATTTATGGGAGGAAATCATAGATAAGGAGTCAGATTTAAAAACAAAAAATATTTTATATGATGTTTAAAAAGTCGAGTTGTAGTCAATAGGAGTCTTTGAAGGATAAACTATAGATGGACAAGAATGACTTGAACTTTTTAAAGACAGTTTAGATGGACGTGACATGGGAGTCAGGGGATGCAGTCAGAATGGGGGCAGGGCCACAACACTGCTTGAGTGCCTCCTCTAGGCAGGTTTATATTTATGTTCTTATTTTAATTCTAATAACAACTATATGAGGTGAGTCTTATTATTCATATTTTACATATGATGATTCTGTGGCTCAGGAAGATTAAGTAACTTGTCTAGGTGAAGCAACCAAGTAAGACACTAGAATAAAGATTTTGAAGGCAGTTTTACCAAGCTTTTCGTCATTACATAGTGCTGTTTATTATTTCTTTTAAAGTCTGAGCAATAAAGTGTGAGGGTCTAAGGCAAGGCAGAAGGACAGATATTTAAGAAGCATAATTAGGAAGCCTGCAGGATGGACTGGACATCACGTAAGAGTAACCAGAAAATAAATCAAGAATTCTAGAGCCATTCTAAAAGCTAGTACCCACAGGAGTTACAAATACATGGAAAAGGAAAACAAACCAGAGTGTCCTTTTATGTCTTTTATTGTTTAGTAATTTTTATTCTTCCCCAGACCTACATTAATGTGGGTAAAATTGTAACATTTCCAGAATATCTCGCCTGGCTTTAGTGCATTTGCATATCCTCAGGGGTGGAGAGAAAATTCATTTCCATATCAATGGGTAATTACATGGGCAACAGAGGGTGCGTCTGAACCTGAGAGGTTAAGGGGTGGGGGCTGGCTGGCTTGCTTGCTGGCTTCCTCCAGAGTAGAGGAGAAAGTGGCCCGAGACTGCAGTTTGTGAGCAATAAACGGATTTTAAACTTTATTTCGTCCTTTGACTGATTTCGGTTTTTAGAGGTATTTTGCCCCGGGTCTTCCTCTCCCCGGACTTATAACTAACTAAAACCAAAACTTAAGTGTACCTGATATCTTGTTATGTGTTAACAAAAAATAAAAGCAAAAAACATTATTACAACCACCACCAAGTCCTATGAGAACTATTAAGACTGGAATAGATACACCAACATCTAGATAAAAACCCAGAATGGATTACCACAAAGAAGGCACTGTATGCTTCTTCCTTTTTTTGTTTGGGGAAGGGGCAGATCTTAAAATTAGTAATACCCTATTGATGAACACAAAAATGTTTGTTCTCAGAGTCAAGGTCATTGACAGCAAAAAATTATTCTTACTGCATAGGTTTTAGTAATTGATTCCGACCTAGGAATAAAATTTAGATAGCAATGCATACATACGTACTCATAGATTCTTAAAGTCTAATGACTTTTTTAAAAGTCACAATATAGAATCTTCTAGCTTTTCTACTTTTAAACCCTGCAAGTTCTCTGAAAATTTTTCATCTTATCTAATCTGTTTAATTCTAGTGTCCTAGCTCAGTCTTCACAATTTCATATGAGATATTCTACTGAACTATTTCTAAATGTTTATTTAAATAAGGATGGTTGGCCTCATTTCTTAGTCCATCTCATACTTACATGGAATGGTTCTCAAGTAGAGATTATCTCTGATCACTTGCTGCAGTTTGTGGTCGGTTGATCCCTTCTGAAACTGAAGACTCAGGTAATGCCGCAAATCTTTATTAATGACTTTGCCTACAAAACAAATTACAGAAGACAAAACACATAATAACTGTTAGATCTCCAGTTAAATATTGATACTAGTAATTGAGTACCTTTAAACCATTTACTTTGAAACAGGGAAAAAGAAAACAGATATTTTACTAAAAACAAGATAACTAATGCCAAATTATTATAGGTACAGTATAATTAAAATATATACCTGTAATAAATAAATGTGGGCATAATTTTACATGGTAGCAAAGGGAGAAGATATAGGTCAGAGAATATGACAAATATCCAAGGTAACTGGTTACTTGGTTTTAAATCACTTCTATATACCGATAACTTCAGATTCTTATCATGTCTCTATCTCTGACCTATCTCCACCAAGTTCTAAATTCATCAAACTCACTCATATATATTGCAGATACCTTTGGAAGTCAAATAAGCACCTCAAATTTCATATAGCCAGGACTCTTAGTTCTACCCTCCCTCAATATTTTCCTCTCCTCCAGTTCTCCCTGTCTTAGAAAATAATAGTACTACCAACCCAGTAGATAAAACCCAAAAGTGAGAAGTCATTCTTCATTTCTCTTTTTCCTTTCTGTCCCCCAGATCCAATCCATGAGAAACTTTTGTCATTCTACCTCTGAAACATATCCCGTACTGTCTACTTCTCTCCATTTCCATTGCCACCACCCAAATCTAAGCCACCATCGTTTCTCATCTGTTATTCTGCAACAGCCTTCTAACTGGTCTTCCTGCATCCATTCTTGCCTCCTTCCTGCTCCCACCATTCACACAGGAGCCAGAGTGAGATTTAAAATGTAAACCAGATGGTCACTACTCAATGTTTAGAGTCACCCAATGACTTCTTGTTGTACATGCAATAAAATCCAAAACTTCTAAACAGGGCTTAGAAGCCCCTACATGTTGGTCTAGTTCTGGCCATTTCTGACCCAAATTTGTTCATTCATTCCACTCTCAAACTACACTTCACTAACACTGGCCTTCTTCTGACCTTTGTATAGGCTACATGGGCCCTACCTCAGGGCCTTCTGCTACCACAAGACTGAATAGGCATCTTCTGTTTGCTTGACTCCCAAAGTGAATAAATAAGAGAAAGTTTTTTTCTTACCTGTGGAGAAAATGGAAGACAAAGTGGAATATTAGGGATCTCAAAGAAATATTAAGCAGAAAAATAGGGAACTGCAGAAATCTGTAGCAGTGAATTTGTAGTGAGGGTTGAACTTAAAATGAAAATCAAAGCAATCCAAACACTGTTCATTAGACAAGACTTCAGATAATTAGAAAAGAGCAAAGCTAAGACAAAAATAGATTATCTTATTGAATAAGAAATGACTAGCTGATTAAAATGTACTCTTTGTTTTATTTGAAACAGCACAGTTATGACAAGGTTAGATAAATCAAAAGATTACTACAGATCAGTTCATCTTTTAACTGTAATCCTATAATGTAACATTTGTAATCCCCTCCTTTTTGTCTTTTCTCACACATACAATAAACATAACCTATATGAGAGGGTGTTAATATAAGCAGGATATCAGAGTGCTTCTAAAGTTTAGAGATAACAATCAGATCCTCAACTAACAACACAAACCAGAAAGTCCCTGTTTGCCTTGCCAAAAATAGATGCTTGGGAAGGGGAACAGATCAAAGAAGAAAACCTGAAAGTTATTTGCAGGGATAGCACAGAAGAATCCCTAGTCCCTTCTGCCTGGCATTTAGGGGCCCCAACAACCTTAGTCCAATTTAGATGGAATCATATGACTTTGTGTTTTGTTTATATTACAGTAATTGTTCATTGATGGGTAGAAGAAAAACCTAATTTATAATCAATACTGTACAGTTGCATTGCTTACTGAACAAAAACATACCCAATGATGAGTTCATTAAGTATTAAAAAAATTAGATAAGGGGTGTTTCAAATACTTTATAAAAAACATTATAAAAAACTTGGTGGACTGTTATATAGATGCTTAAAAATATCTAGAAATACCTAGAAATCGGCTGTCCAACATATTTTCAGGAATATATTTAATTTGGATAAAGAATAATGCCTGTATAATTAAGAAGACAATTTGAATCAACAATATTTTTCAACTCAAGATTTTCTTTCTTTTTTTATTTGAAACTGTAAGATATGATATAACTCGCAGAAGTAACTATAAAATGCCAAGAATGTAGGCTGGATTTTAATCTATAAAAAAGCAGCCATAAATAAGATATAATTAAAGACAAAGCCATAATAAAAACCACAGATCACAAGTTACAGCATGAGGAGGTATCTTAAGGGGAAATGATGATAAAACAGCTCAATTCCTGTTTCAAGAGCCCACAATATTTTAAGACAAAGGATAGTAAATGCAGAAAGGACTAAGTTTAAAGAATAACACCTAGAATTATCAGGGCTGGAATTGCATTCTCAATTTTCACCCTCAGCTTCTACTGGGATTCTGGATGCAATGCTGAGATGAAAAGCAAAGCAAAGGGTGACAACTTCTTAAATGTGGTATTGTATTTAAATTGTGCAGCTATTCAAAAAAGCCATCATGCATTTCTGAGGCTGAAGACAAAACACTACAAATATCAATGAGATGTCAATTATAAAGTATTAACAATAATATGGGTTGGCATTTCTTAACATTAATAATTAATAATAAAATATATTGGATGTAGCAGTCATCATGGACTTCCCTGCTTCAAGAAACCAAAACTTTTTTAAGGGAACAAAATATTATGGCCCCCTCTTTGATATGATTCCAAGGAATCTGTTTAAAAAGACAAAAAGTACAAATGCCCTGAATAGGCAGATGACAGTGGAATTATTACTAGAAGGCCAACAGTAACATTAACTCACAGACACTGCTGTGTTTATCTATCTTAGCAAGTTGTTTCTGAACTTCTTGCCTTTTGTTTCGGGAGAACTTCACAGAAACTTTTCAGTTTAAGGGTATAAAATATTTACTTGGAGTTAATGTAGCTGTTAAATAAAGACTTCCTAATTTAGCATTCTTAAGTAGCTGAGTAGCTAGCCTTTTGCTTTAAGATTTTTCCTTCACTTCTAAGTGATTTATAATTCAAGTTCACTTATGAAACTTGAAATTAGATCTATGTATCTTACAAATACAGCTCAAGTAGGGAAGTCTTTAAGATCTTAACCATCTGAATAAATCCAGGTGCTCAAGTTTCAATATACAAATCCTTAGTCAAAAGAACTCATAACCTCAAATCCATACTTTCTGAACATATGCAAGTTAATATTCACTTCCAGTTCTCTCTGAGGAACAGTGCATAGAGTCACTACGGGTTATTAGTTAGATAAACCCTGTACGCAGCTGTAAACCAATCTAATTGCCAACATTTCATTGTCTTTTCCATAAGGATAGCCTAAGGGACTTTGTCAACTACTTGCTGAAGTCAAGATACATGTCTTCACTATTCTCTAATTCAGTAGCAATTTTAAAATGAAAAAGAACAAGAAAGAAAATGAGGTCAGTTTTCCATATACTGTTCTTGTAAATTCACGTTGATTCAATGATCATCCCATTCTTTTCTAAACACTTAAAATATTTCATTTTATTTTTTTACAATCTTCATATTTTGCCACAGTTTAAAGCTAGGGAAGTGGACTTGGTATTTCATGATCTACTTCATGCTTTTGCGATAACTGGGACATTTGTCTCTCTTCAGACTCCTGGTACTTCTCACATTCCCCATGATTTCACAAATACTGACAATAACCCTAAGACCATATCTGAGAGTCAGTTCAATACTTGGGAGGCAAGTCAGTTCAGTCTTGAAAACTTAAATTCCTTTAAAATGAACAATAATTCTACTATCTTCTCATCTTTTTAAAAATTTAATTTCCCCCATATCAGGTTGTTTGTTTTACCTTTCTTTCACTGTTGGAAAAGTAATTCTGTTGGTTCAAGATTATGGAAGCAAAGTAATAATGCTTAATATAAGATTTCCACCTATAAACAGCTAACATTAACATCTTCTTCAAACAGTAAGTCCACCTCTTCTTCCTTGTTGCTCTTGTTCCAAACACAACTTTAAAAGCTCTTTGTGCTCTCCGAAGTATCTTAGCTCCTTTTGAGCTCAGACCTGTAGAAAAATTCTTAAATATTTATTCTTACAGTCTACCTAGCTCTGTATAGATGTGATTTTGTGCTCCTTCCATCTATCAATCACACATATCTTTTTAAAAACCTGTGTTGCTCTGAACATTCTGTACACCTATAAGAATTTTTTCACATAACTTTTCTTTTACAAACCTTGTCTTGGAAGTCCACCTATAGACACTATGAATTTTGAAAAATCTGTTTTCCTCAAAGGCAAAGTATGGGCATAACCATGCCCCAGTTCTCTTCCTCACTATGATGACTATCAGAGATACCCTGTTGACTATCCCAATAAAATGTTTAACTAGCTCAACATTACTAATGTTACCACCTAGTCCTTTCCCAGTAGACCTGCAGTCAGTGCGTTCATTCTATTGCTTCTCCCACCTCCTGAGTTCCGCAGCAAGAAGAGAAAGCTCCATGAACTGATACCCAAAGCTTAACCCCAAACTGGCTCCATGGCTCAAGGCAGGGTGTCTCCAAAGCAAATCAAACTGTAGTCCACTTATCTGTGAAACTGTAAATGGCACGTTAAGAAGACTTCTCCAGATAATCAGTATCTACACAATTCATAATAAAGTACATTTTATGGAACAGTTATTAAAAAATATCTTATATGGTCATCAAACATAAAGGTTTTTTGGCTAGGGGCCAAAGCCATGGTTTGTTTTTACAGAATAGTCCCAGTCTAGCACACAGAATCAGCACTGTGTTTTGTATTTTTTATTGTTCATTGGACCCTCTCCATCCTCAAATACATGAAATTTGAGAATACTCATTTAACTGATACAGCACTCTTTAATAGTCTCTATTATAACTTTATCTTAAATTGTTTCTTAATGACATTGATTTTAACTCTATCAAAATAATAAAATAATTCCTTGA